GCTGCAAAACTTCAGCACGTTTCGGCAGGATTGTTCACAATAGTTGCACATACACAGAAATTATTATACTTTCTAAGAATATTTGGCTTTTGTTTGACGTCAGTATCATCAACTTTTTCGTGCATGCGTTTGATACTTCATTCTTCAGCTTGGTGTCGCGAAAAATCAAGAGAAGTGAACCTCTGAATTATTCCAACCAACAATATCCGGTAAATTTGTTGTTCTTTTTCAATAGGAGGTTTGGATTCAAGGCGGCTAGTCGTAATGCCAGACAAGCGTGGTTTGTCCGTACAAAATGTAGAAGAACTGGTAAGATTGACGTTACTGTACCTGACGGGAACTTGTTCTAGGATGTATCTAAATTAACAGCTTTATCACCGGAGGTCATCAGTCGCCAAGCTACCATTAACATTGGTACTATAGGCCATGTCGTCCACGGGAAAACAACAGTTGTGCGTGCCATTTCCACAGTGCATACTATTAGGCATAAAAACGAATTGATTAGAAACATCACAATAAAGCTTGGATATGCTAATGCTAAAATATACAAGTGCAACAATGAAGCATGCATACGCCCTGCTTGTTACCGTTCATTCGGAAATGCAACAGATGATTCTCTTCCCTGTCCTAGACCTGGTTGCGATGGAACACTAACACTACTAAGGTAATTTGAATATTCATTTGCCTGTTGCAGGAACTGGTGACGTTGTTTAACAATGACTACATCCTTTTCAGAGATTAACACTGATTTTGTCCCTATATAAGCGAAATATATTGGTCATTTGGGTGTCAATCAATACGTTAGTTTTTGGGTGTTACTTGTTCTTAAGGTTCCCTCAGTCTAACATTTGGGTGATAAACGATCCACTAAATGCTTTTTTAGCCTCCTTTTCATTCTGCATTGACTTGTGTTATACCATTGTTCCAGCTTCTATCACCTGTCTTACTCCGAAATACCTTTCAATCACTTAGATTCCCATTTTTAATTAATGATGCTTTGATTACTCGAGAACTAGAGCTGTCTTACCTGTAAACAAACCAAGATTTTACCTGATATTTATGCCCGGTGTAAGAAGGGGACATATTACGACTGTCAACTGCTTGAATCATAGTCTTAAATTGAGTAGCCTTTATCGGTTATATGCACATCTACATCTATATTTTTTAATTTTCATTCTGCAATAATATCACAAAGGTGAGCATCTTCGTTTGTTAGTGACAGCTGTAAAGCCTTTTTTGAATTGCTCAGTACTCGGTTATGCTACTTATTCACTGTCTAAAGATTTTAAAGGCATTATAAACAGTTTAGTGTAAATAGTCTTTATCATTATGATGATCTTAATAATTACTTTATATTCTTGCTCTCCATTTATCTTCGTTGGTTTCATTTTCTGCTGACTTAGAGGTCACTACCTAGTGTCATCTCATCGAATTCCAACTAGGCCGTAAGCTAATTTAGTTTGAGCATAAGACGGTTTCAAATTACTGGTTTATTCTCGATTCAAAAAATTTCTGTAACCAAATTTGGAGAGTTCTTCTCGGACTAAGTAGGAGTTTCTTTCACAAAAGTTGGACCTACCACATCGGAATCAGCACAGCTTCAACTTTACGGAGGTCGATCTTTCTGTTATTAAGCAAACAAACGAAAATATTCTTGAGTGGATGTGTTGCTTCTAAAACAAGTTTACTGATATATTAATTCTCGTCATATTGTGCAGACAATTTGTCCTAAATCCCATGATTCAAAATTTCCTGTATTGGAGTTTCAGTCTCATTTAGATGGTCTCAGTGCGCACTAAAGGTTGACTTATTGGACAAACAATCTGATCACCGTCTTCATTTTCGCGTGGACACTGTTGGTACGATGCGCAAAAATTAGGCCTAATAATCTGATTTCAACTGATTGGGAAATGTTTAGCCTACTAGTCAAATTCCTTTCGCATATGGGAATGTATCTTATATAATATCTGTTTTGTATTCATATTATGTACATGAGCATATCATTTTATTACATGAGAAGCCACTCATCTAACTAGGGGTCTCGTCTTTGATTTCTAATCCTTCAGGAGCCCAAGTCAATAATACGGTCTTGTAAGTAGCCATCATTTGGCTACGTTATATCGGTGCGTACATCTATCGATTAACGTTTTGTTCATTGATTTTAAAAGTCGAAAATGAAATCGCGAAAACCTCGATAACAAGAGTGTATGAGGTTTTATATTTTATAACTTCAATGTTTTTTTAACTAGGCATGTTTCGTTTGTGGATTGTCCAGGTCATGATATTTTAATGGCAACTATGTTAAACGGTGCTGCTGTTATGGATGCAGCATTATTGTTAATAGCCAGCAATGAGACATGCCCACAGCCCCAAACAAGTGAGCACCTCGCTGCTGTAGAGATCATGCAGTTAAAATACATAATTATTCTTCAAAATAAGATTGACTTAATCAAGGAAAGTCAAGCTCGTGAACAATATTCTCAGGTAAGTCTTGACAAATCAGGTAATAATCCATCATTTTGTATTATCTAGAACTATAATTTTCGCAATAACTTCTGTATGTCATAGGATTTTTATTCTGTAAATTAGCTTGTAAATTGCAACATATGTCAACATTTTGATCTCAGAAGTTGGATAATTGAATAATGTTCACATAACCTGATTGTTGGAAACAGCACCCCAATAAATGCTGGTTCATTCGTATCATTGAAGTTGATAATGGTTTGCGTTTCACTACTTACGGTACACTTTTGGATTATAATGAGTTCTAAAACGTGATGTATTTCCCATGGAGTACTTTTCAGCCAACTACAAGTTCTGAGTAAAACAGACAAATTACTGTTAATAACTAAAAAGTCCTCAAATGAAAGACTTTTAAAGTCGTAGTCGTGGATTCTTACTAGACGGTGTTTATGGTCCAAGCCGTACTGGTTAACTCAACTGAAAAGATGTACCTGTGTAATGATCACATTTATATTCTTTTTTAGATTTTACGTTTTATCCAGGGTACTGTTGCTCAAGGAGCTCCAGTTGTACCCATCTCAGCACAATTGAAGTATAATATTGATGTTGTTTGTGATTACATTGTGAATCACATTCCGGTTCCAGTACGGGATTTCACATCAGCACCTCGTTTGATTGGTGAGTTGTCTGTTTTGTGCATAACAAACAAGTTTAAGTACACATTGAATCAATAGTTATAATCGACTATATGATTTCTGATTTCTTTACTTGCAGTAAATCATTCGATGTAAACAAACCTGGTTGTGAAGTGGATGATTTACAGGGTGGAGTAGCCGGAGGGAGCATTTTGCGAGGTGTTCTTAAGGTAGTTTATTATGATATGTTTTTTATCCTAATCAATTATTTCTTATTCTGGCTCTCTGATTCGCCAGATCTATTCCACCAATTTTAGTACCTCTGTATAGTTCCTATTTCTGATCATTAATTTTAATTATCAACAGGTTGGGCAGAAAATAGAAATCAGACCAGGTCTCGTCTCCAAAGATTCTGAGACTGGAGGTGTTACATGTAGACCCATTATTTCGTGTATCGTGTCACTTTTCGCAGAGCAGAATGATCTTGCTTACGCTGTTCCAGGAGGTTTAATTGGAGTTGGAACAAAAATCGATCCACAGTTGTGTCGCGCTGATCGTTTGGTCGGTCACGTTTTAGGAGAGGTTGGTACCTTACCTGACATATATGTGGAATTAGAAATATCATTCTTTCTTCTTAAAAAAAAAAAGGTGTTCGTACAGAAGGCGACCAAAAAGGAGCTAAGGCAAGTGGTCTATCATTGTATGTTGCTCAAATGTTTTGCAATATTTGATAATGAAATGACTAAAAGTTTTACAACTTGAAAATAATTTACTGGTTATCTGATATTTAATGAACTGCTTAAAATATCTCTAAACTGTTTTATCTTAGTTTGGGAATCCTCACCACCACAAACTGGGCTCCGTATTGGATTGGGTTCGTGACCTTTGATTTCATATATAGTAGAACCTTTTGATACAACACGATCGTAGATTCATCATACAAGCAGATTTGTACTCTAGAGGTAGAAATATTAACAGTCATATAATCCATCCATAAACAGACAGGGCTAGATTTTGTTAGGCTAAGAAAATACATTGCGTTAGCGCTGGAACTGCCCTTATATCTAAAAAATCTTTCAAAGATAATGGTGGTCGAAAACGAAAGTTGTTTGAATGACCTGTGTCTTATATCACATAAAAGTAATACTGATTTACTCGTGGTTAAAGTCTTTGTAACAAATCTTCCACGCCACACCACCTCAGAGGTTTAGCAGTCAGTCACTTACAAACAAAAAACTTCGTGAGTACGTACATAAGTTCGTGTTGCCATACCACATTAGCACTGAGGCTCAGTTTTTAGTTTAAATCCTATAGTGGTAAAAGTAGTAGAAATATTAGCGTTAACGGAGATTAGGGTTCGAAGATATTGTTCAAAATATATAATTCAGTGAGACAACTTTAGAAAGAGAATGATACGGATGATGAGGCTTTATCTTTTTCTTTTTAAGTTTATTCCACTAGATTCTACTTCTTCAATAATATCATCGAACCCTAATCTCTCCAATTACTGTTAATACCTGTACTACTTCTACTACTATGGATATTGAATTGCAATTACATCTCTGTGCTATTGTGGTATGGCAACTTGAACTGATGTACCTACATACGTACGTATGATTGATTGAGAGGTGATGAGAAAATCAGTAAATTAAAATTTCATAGAACACAGAGTAAATGCACATGAGCCATTGCAAACGATTTTGAGTCATGTATCCTGCGATTCTGAATTCTTCAATCTTTGTAGCTTACTAATTTATATTTTCTGTAACCATATCTTCGCTACCTAGTCTTTTCTGTTTTCACTAACTTTTGCTACCTCTATTATAAAATTCGCCCTGACAAATTCATCTCGCTGCGCCATTGTGGTATTTCAGCTTGAATCGACGTACACTCAAGCACCAGGTTCTACGTTGCGTTTGACTAACTGATGTATGCAACTGCATCAATTATGCCTCCAATCTGATTGTATATCAGTACTGTAACATTCCTATACAGCGCACTTTTCTCCATCACTTATCACCCTGAAACCTACGCTTATCGTGATAACGAATTGTTATGTCTGCATTTGATTTTAATTGTTCCGAATTTCGATAATAATGGTAATCCTATAAAACTCGTTTGGTAACATAAAACTTCTGAAAACGGATAATACATAGTTTCTTATTTTATTCTGTATTTGACAGGTTCAAAAACTTTCTAAAAATGAAGTTTTGATGGTGAATATCGGGTCTCTTTCTAGTGGTGGATGTGTTATAGCTGTTAAAGGCGATCTCGCTAAAATACGACTTAATAGCCCTGTGTGTACTCAGGTTGATGAAAAAATCGCACTGAGCAGGCGTGTTGAAAGACATTGGCGGTAAGTAGATCATTTTTTTTTAATCTCACGTTTAATTAGTTTTACTGATATAGATCATCACCCCTATTTATCAATTTATTTTTCCTTGTAGATTGATAGGATGGGGAGAAATTCGACGTGGTGTCACAATTCAACCTGTTCAGTGAATGATAGTATGAATGTGAAGATTTGTACTTGTGTGTGCTGATTGATATCCTTGGTTGTTTGTGTAACTTAAATCTTTGTCAAAACAAATGTTTTGTATCTTGGACTTAACTGTTATTTTTTCCTAGAAATTACGATTACCTATTTACAGCTATTTGTTATGGCAAATAAGAAATTTATCGATAGCAATTATCGTTACCTTAATATCATTCATTGATCTGTCAGCTCTATTCATAACCGCTGTGGGTTCTAGGGAGATGGTTGAGTCCCTGATGCCATCAACCTAACTGCTTGTGCTCTAATGATTCCGATAAATCGTAGTTTACGCAGTTCTTCGAAATAAACCCATGAACAACCATCAATTATTTTATGATTTCACAAGTTATCATTATAATTTTCTAGGCTCTACGCATATCATAACAATGAGTCAAAATAACTATCTTCAGTTTCATATAGTTTCCGTCATGTTTTCAGTATCTGCGGTCCTACAAAAGTCTCATAGCCCTGTTTTTAGGAATATTAAAAGTTTCAGTGTTGGAAATATTTGCAGTTTATTGTAAATGTTGTCTATAACAGATTGTCATTGTGATATTTATTCGGATAAGCCGTAGTTGCTACCTTGACTTAGTGGTCGGATTTGGCTATCGTGAGGACCCAGTTAGCTATATTGGTTGGAACAAACGTTCCTGGAGATTCTACCATAACAGGTAGGTCTATTGGAAAACGGTAAGACTAAAAGCAACAATTCAAGGTCTGAGGGCGAAGTCGTACTGTTGACTTTAGAGATAAGTGACAGTAGTAAGGTGTTTGCCTGGGCCAACCAACATCCGCAGCGATGCTGCCTTCTCACAAGGTAGCAAGGGGTTACAAATGGTCGACCCTCAATATGTCACACCTCACGGATTTCCATCTACGACGGTAAACCCATTTGAATAGTGGAGCTAACACTACAATCTTATGAAAATACCGTGCGTGACTGACCTCACTCAGTTGTCCCTTGTGCTCTGTGTCACGCCCTCAGGTCTCTAAGACCAACACTAATCTACGTTCCTTTTCAGGTTCCTCAAGAAAACAACCGTCAACTAGTTGTGGGCAGCCGAATAAGTGACCATTCATCCTCAACCCGTAACAACACACGAGACCGAATCGGTCACAATGAAATCCTTCCTACAACCCTGTTATAATGCTGCTATGTAGCTATTCGAAATCCTACCGATTGACCATATTCAGATATTCCGGTATGACCCCGAATACTGTTCCCAAACCTCCAATATATCAGGACACAACACAGTTAGATGAAGTTGTTTATGGGGTCGAGTACAGAAGGAATAAAGGAAGGAATAATAAGCTTGACAGATAATGCATATTTATACAGTTAGGCCGATTAGGAAACAACATTGAAGTCTGTGACATTGATAGTTAGGACGACCAGTGGGAAACAACATTGAATTATGTGACATTGAGAGGACGACCATAATATTGACCAGTAGGAGTTGACCAATAGAATGAGGCTTCCAAAAATAATTCTCCTACGATATTTGATGAATATCCTAACAACCACCTCTGGAAGAAGTTAATGTCGACGCAGCCAAGGATTTATCTGAATTTTCTTTAGTTGTCTACGTTTTGTTGCTACGATCGCCTTTTCGACGGTCAGCAATCCTGAACCTGGAGGATGTACTGCCTTTGTTAAGGGTGACTCAGTTGGAGTTATTGGCGGGAGTTGATAAGTATCCAACAGTAAGTTCAGTGAGAGGCGTTACGTAAAATTCACCTTTTTTCTTAGTTTCCTTTGTCCTTAGTGATTATGATGCATGGTCCAGATATCTCGGTTCACCCTGACATCATACATTACGTTTCCCATATCCTTGGTGACTTCACCCTCTATCCATCTATCATATCCTTGTCTGTAGTGCCGCCACATACACTTTCGCACCCAATTTGATGAGGAATTCGAGTAGTCTGCATCCCATGTCTTTGCCGGGCCAATCAATTGGGTGTCAAAGCACTATGAAATGTTTGTAGCTTTCGTCCCATAAGCATCTCAGCAGGGAATTTGAAGTTTGGTTGTAAGTCATATGGTGGTCGTCCGGGTACACAATTAGGAATTTTTCTATGATATCGTATGTGGTCGCTTCCGCTCGTGTCTTTAAACATTGCCTCGTCTAAATGTGTCCACCGGATCCCTTTTTCAGCTTGTCCATTAGACTTTCGGGTGATATGGCGGAAAACGGACATGTTTGGTTGAGTTTTGCAGGCCAAAACTCTTGGAATTGACTGGATGTAAGCTGCGAAACCATCGTCTGTTACTATTGTTTCTGCAAGACCCATGCCGACTGAAGATCAGATTAAGGAGTTGGATGTTTCGAGTTGTAGAGGGTGGCGAAATCGGCAATATCTCCGGCCATCTGGAGGGAGAGTCAGCACAGTACCATCTAGGGGTCCGGCGGAGTCAATGTGCACTCGCGCTCAGGGTTTTTCTTACTTTGGCTAGAGTTCTCAAGGTAACTTGGGAGGATTTTTCTCAGCTGTTTGACATTGTGAATATCCTCTGATGAAGTCGAAAATCTGCCGTATCCATGTTCGGCCAATATATGCATAGCTCCGAGGCGATGGATTTCATACGATTTAATCCCTAGGTGTCTCAGAGTGGTAATTGGTGTAGAACCTTGGAATGTATGGTTGTTAGAATTACTACGCGAACACCAGACAATCATTAACAACACGGCACTGCGACGATTCGCTAGACTGTTTCTCATATCACTTAACTGGCCATTGGCTCTGAACAGTAGGTGATCGCTTTTTGGATACACGGTCGTACTCTTATAGCTTTTCTGAACATCTTCAGCGGTAAACAGCCATCTGCCTTGGATGGCATTCGCTAATATGGTAGCACTGGGATCCTCTTCTGCTTAATATCTGTGGCTATGACTGTGTACTCATCAGTGGTGGAGTGGTTACTGATAAGTCTGGGACAGTGCATCAGCTTGACCGAAATCTTCGGAACGTCGGTGAGAAGACATCAGTGGAACCCGGCATTTGTTGAATTGCATGAGTATTTTGAGGATCAGGATGACGTCCGGAATGCAACGAAAGATAAACCCCAGTTATTTAAACGGAACGTAAGAGAATGTTCATGTTCTATGGACCGAAGGCTGAAAACCATTATTCTGGAGGCGTTGCAGAACTGTGTGTTCTGGTATGCAATTCAGCGATTGAGCCGGCAATGAGGACATCTTCAAGGTAAGTAGCAACGCCAGGAACATCTGCCAGAATAGTATCCATAATCCGTTGGAAGATCTCTGGAGCAGTTTTTATAACAAAGGGCAACCGGGTATACTGAACAAGTCCCTCGGTAAGTGTTATTTGTCAACAACTATCTCGACTCGAGAGCGACAGAAATTTGAAATTAATCATCCGCTAGATCAAGCCTTAGCCAAAGTAAGTTCCATCATTTAAAATAGTAAATAAGTCATCTGGGATCGCTAGCGTATTAATGATGCTGTTGTAGTGCCGCGGTTGAGTCCTGTGGAGAAGTCTGCACAGATGCTGTATGGGACCATTGGGTGTTTTTTTACAACTGCAACTGGTGCAGCCCATGATGAATAAGAGACAGGCACAAGAACACCCTCAGTTTCCAAACGTTGCAGTTTCAGCGTCAACCAGAGGTAGAGATGCGTATGGGACTGGGCATTTTAGACGAAAAAACTGGCGTAGCTTCTGGTTACAGTCTCAAAATAGCTTCCGCTGTGGAACAAAATCCGAAACCAGGCTGAAAGAGTTCAGTGCAATCTTTTCTTGAAGATCTGCAGCATTCTGCTGTGTAGTGGCAGGAGTTTTTACTTGATTGCAGATAGTGCTGATGGAAAGATCGGCAAGACCAAGTTTCTTCGAACCAATCTAACCTCAGCAAGGTGTTGAGAAGATGAACCTTTGGTTTAATGCAAGCCACAGTTCCATCCTTGAAGGTGATGTTACCTTCTTGAACGAAACAGTCAATCGGAGTTTTATAATGAACTGCTTCCCTGGAGTATGACCCTGCATCAGCGCACTTGAAAACCTGTCTGTGACCACGATGTTTTGTATGGGCCGTGGTTGACCACAGGTTCGCACCAACTCCTTTTCCGACCAGAATTGATATCTGATTGCCCAGTATCCATACTGTCAATCCCGAACCGGCTGACCTATTTGATTGACGTATGGTCAGAAATTTGCGTCGAGTAGAGGCGTCGGTTCTGTGGAAAACCGCTACTAAACTCTGTAGACTGCGGCAAACGGCTTTCTGAGAACACGACGCACGCGTCTGTGAATTTCGCCGGCCAGTGAATGTGGTTGATTGGTAAAAACCTCACTGTTGATAACCCAACTTTCTCGTCAGCGATATGCCACACATTGCTGCTTGAATGGACAAAATTTCCATGATGTCAGGCTCCACAGTACCAACATGGTGAAGGGGTCTTCCTTACGAGCCGATTTGAATGATTAGAAAACAGAACTGGCGTTCGAAGGACCAAATGTTTTTCGACCCTGGAAGATTTGTTCTGTTGCTGAACAAAGTGAACTTCGGAACCACCCTGGTCCCCAGAATGTACCAAAACGATGTCACGCTGCAAGTTGATAATACGTTGGTACTTCATCTGTGATCGCATTAAGTATCAGTGTTGGGTATTGTTCAAGGCGATTAGGCAACCGAGTTCTCCGACATCAGAACTCGGTTGCCTAATCGCCTTGAACAATACCCAACACTGATACTTAATGCGATCACAGATGAGTACCAACGTATTATCAACTTGCAGCGTGACATCGTTTTGGTACATTCTGGGGACCAGGGTGGTTCCGAAGTTCACTTTGGTCAGCAACAGAACAAATCTTCCAGGTCGAAAAACTTTGGTCCTTCGAACGCCAGTTCTGTTTCTAATCATTCCAAATCGGCTCGTAAGAAGACCCCTTCACCATGTTGGTACTGTGGAGCCTGACAATCATGGAAATTTTGTCCATTCAAGCAGCATGTGTGCTATCGCTGACAGAAAGTTGGTTACAACGGAGGTTTTTACCAATCAACCACATTCACTGGCCGGCGAAATTCACAGACGCGGCGTCGTGTTCTCAGAAAGCCGTTTGCCGCATCTACGAGTTTAGTAGCGGTTTTCCACACCGACGCCTCTACTCGACGCAAATTTCTGACCATCTCAATCAATAGTCAGCCGGTTCGGTTGCAGTTGGATACTGCATCAGATATCATTCTGTCGGAAAAGAGTTGGCGAACCTTGGGTCAACCACCCATCAAACCATCGTCACAGACAGTTTTCAGTGCCTGTGCGGGTCATCTCCGCTTTCATTATAAACTCGATTGCTGTTTCGTTCAGAAGTACAACCTTCAATGGAACGTGCTGCATAACCAAGTCTCTTCTCAACCTTCTGAGGTTAGATTGGTTCGAAGAACTTGGTCTTGCCGATCTTTCCATCAGCACTATCTGCAATCAAGTAAAAACTCCTGCCACTACACAGCAGAATGCTGCAGATCTTCAAAAAAGATTCACTGAACTCTTTCAGCCTGGTTTCGGATTTTGTTCCACAGCGGAAGCTATTTTGAGACTGTAACCATAAGCTACGCCAGTTTTTCGTCTAAAATGCCCAGTCCCATACGCATCTCTACCTCTGGTTGACGCTGAACTGCAACGTTTGGAAACTGAGGGTGTTCTTGTGCCTGTCTCTTATTCATCATGGGCTGCACCAGTTGTAGTTGTAAAAACACCCAATGGTCCCATACGCATCTGTGCAGACTTCTCCACAGGACTCAACGCGGCACTACAACAGCATCATTATACGCTAGCGATCCCAGATGACTTATTTACTATTTTAAATGATGGAACTTACTTTGCTAAGCTTGATCTAGCGGATGATTAATTTCAAATTTCTGTCGCTCTCGAGTCGAGATAGTTGTTGACAAATAACACTTACCGAGGACTTTTTCAGTATACCCGGTTGCCCTTTGTTATGAAAACTGCTCCAGAGATCTTCCAACGGATTATGGATACTATTCTGGCAGATGTTCCTGGCGTTGCTACTTACCTTGAAGATGTCCTCATTGCCGGCTCAATCGCTGAATTGCATACCAGAACACAGTTCTGCAACGCCTCCAGAATAATGGTTTTCGCCTTCGTCCAAAGAAATGAAAATTCTTCTTACGTTCCGTTAAATAACTGGGGTTTATCTTCGTTGCTTCCGGACGTCATCCTGATCCTCAAAATACTCATGCAATTCAACAAATGCCGGGTTCCACTGATGTCTTCTCACTGCGATCATTTTCGGGGATGGCTAGCTAGTAGCTACTACCGACGTTCCGAAGATTTCGGTCAAGCTGATGCACTGTCCAGACTTATCAGTAACCACTCCACCACTGATGAGGACACAGTCATAGCCACAATATTAGCAGAAGAGGATCCCAGTGCTACACTATTAGCGAATGCCATCCAAGCAATGGCTGTTACCGCTGAAGATGTTCAGAAAGCTATAAGAGACGACCGTGTATCCCAAAAGCGATCACCTATTGTTCAGAGCCAATGGCCAGTTAAGTGATATGAAACATCTAGCGAATCGTCGCAGTGCCGTGTTGTTAACGATTGTCTGATGTTCGCGTAGTAATTCTAACAACCATACATTCCAAGGTTCTACACCAATTCCACTCTGGACACCCAGGGATAAATCGTATGAAATCCATCGCTCGGAGCTATGCATATATTGGCCGAACATGGATAGGCAGATTTTCGACTTCATCAGAGGATGTTCACAATGTCAAACAGCTGAGAAAAATCCTCCCAAGTTACCTTGAGAACTCTAGCCAAAGTAAGAAAAACCCTGAGCGCGAGTGCACATTGACTCCGCCGGACCCCTAGATGGTACTGGCTGACTCTCCCTCCAGATGGCCGGAGATATTGCCGATTTCGCCACCCTCTACAACTCGAAACATCCAACTCCTTAATCTGATCTTCAGTCGGCATGGTCTTGCAGAAACAATAGTAACAGACGATGGTTCGCAGCTTACATCCAGTCAATTCCAAGAGTTTTGCCTGCAAAACTCAACCAAACATGTCCGTTTTCCGCCATATCACCCGAAATCTAATGGACAAGCTGAAAAGTCCGTGGACACATTTAGACGAGCAATGTTTAAAGCACGAGCGGAAGCGACCACATACGATATCATAGAAAAATTCCTAATTGTGTACCCGGACGACCCCACATGACTTACTACCAAACTTCAAATCCCCTGCTGAGATGCTTATGGGACGAAAGCTACAAACATTTCATAGTGCTTTGACACCCAATTGATTGGCCCGGCAAAGACATGGGATGCAGACTACTCGAATTCCTCATGAAATTGGTGCGAAAGTGCATGTGTGGCACTACAGACAAGGATATGATAGATGGATAGAGGGTGAAGTCACCAAGGAATATGGGAACGTAATGTATGATGTCAGGGTGAACCGAGATATCTGGACCATGCATCATAATCAACTAAGGACAAAGGAAACTAAGAAAAAAGGTGAATTTACGTAACGCCTCTCACTGAACTTACTGTTGGATACTTATCAACTCCCGCCAATAACTCCAACTGAGTCACCTACAAAGCAGTACATCCTCCAGGTTCAGGATTGCTACCTCAAAGGCGATCGTAGCACAAACGTAGACAACTAAAGAAAATTCAGATAAATCCTTGGCTGCGTCGACATTAACTTCTTCCAGAGGTGGTTGTTAGGATATTCATCAAATATCGTAGGAGAATTATTTTTGGAAGCCTCATTCTATTGGTCAACTCCTACTGGTCAATATTATGGTCGTCCTGTCAATGTCACATAATTCAATGTTGCTTCCCACTGGTCGTCCTAACTATCAATGTCACAGACTTTAATGTTGTTTCCTACTCGACCTAACTGTATAAATATGCATTATCTTGTAAAGCTTATTATTCATTCCTTCTGTACTCGACCCCATAAGCAACTTCATCTAACGGTGTTGTGTCCTGATATAATGGAGATTTGGGAACAATAATTGGGGTCGTACTGGAATATCTTAATTTGGTCAATCGGTAGGATTTCGAATAGCTACGTAGCAGCATTATAACAGGGTTGTAGGAAGGATTTCATTGTGACCGATTCGGTCTCGTGTGTTGTTACGGGTTGAGGATGAATGTCACTTTTCGGCTGCCCACACTGTTGACGGTTGTTTCTTGAGGAACCTGAAAAGGAACGTAGATTAGTGTTGGTCTTAGAGACCTGAGGGCGTGACACAGAGCACAAGGGACAACTGAGTGAGGTCAGTCACGCACGGTATTTTCATAAGATTGTAGTGTTAGCTCCACTATTCAGATGGGTTTACCGTCGTAGATGGAAATCCGTAAGGTGTGACATCTTGAGGGTCGACCATTTGTAACCCCTTGCTACCTTGTGAGAAGGCAGCATCGCTGCCTGGTTGGCCCAGGCAAACACCTTACTACTGTCACTTATCTCTAAAGTCAACAGTACGACTTCGCCCTCAGACCTTGAATTGTTGCTTTTAGTCTTACCGTTTTCCAATAGACCTACCTGTTATGGTAGAATCTACAGGAACATTTGTTCCAACCAATATAGCTAACTGGGTCCTCACGATAGCCAAATCCGACCACTAAGTCAAGGTAGCAACTACGGCTTATCCGAATAAATATCACAATGACAATCTGTTATAGACAACATTTACAATAAACTGCAAATATTTCCAACACTGAAACTTTTAATATTCCTAAAAACAGGGCTATGAGACTTTTGTAGGACCGCAGATACTGAAAACATGACGGAAACTATATGAAACTGAAGATAGTTATTTTGACTCATTGTTATGATATGCGTAGAGCCTAGAAAGTTATAATGATAACTTGTGAAATCATAAAATAATTGATGGTTGTTCATGGGTTTATTTCGAAGAACTGCGTAAACTACGATTTATTGGAATCATTAGAGCACAAGCAGTTAGGTTGATGGCATCAGGGACTCAACCATCTCCCTAGAACCCACAGCGGTTATGAATAGAGCTGACAGATCAATGAATGATATTAAGGTAACGATAATTGCTATCGATAAATTTCTTATTTGCCATAACAAATAGCTGTAAATAGGTAATCGTAATTTCTAGGAAAAAATAACAGTTAAGTCCAAGATACAAAACATTTGTTTTGACAAAGATTTAAGTTACACAAACAACCAAGGATATCAATCAGCACACACAAGTACAAATCTTCACATTCATACTATCATTCACTGAACAGGTTGAATTGTGACACCACGTCGAATTTCTCCCCATCCTATCAATCTACAAGGAAAAATAAATTGATAAATAGGGTGATATGTATATCAGTAAAACTAATTAAACGTGAGATTAAAAAAATGATCTACTTACCGCCAATGTCTTTCAACACGCCTGCTCAGTGCGATTTTTTCATCAACCTGAGTACACACAGGGCTATTAAGTCGTATTTTAGCGAGATCGCCTTTAACAGCTATAACACATCCACCACTAGAAAGAGACCCGATATTCACCATCAAAACTTCATTTTTAGAAAGTTTTTGAACCTGTCAAATACAGAATAAAATAAGAAACTATGTATTATCCGTTTTCAGCAGCATTCAAAGTTTTGTTACCAAACGAGTTTTATAGGATTACCATTATTATCGAAATTCGGAACAAATTAAAATCAAATGCAGACATAACAATTCGTTATCACGATAAGCGTAGGTTTCAGGGTGATAAGTGATGGAGAAAAGTGCGCTGTATAGGAATGTTACAGTACTGATATACAATCAGATTGGAGGCATAATTGATGCAGTTGCATACATCAGTTAGTCAAACGCAACGTAGAACCTGGTGCCTGAGTGTACGTCGATTCAAGCTGAAATACCACAATGGCGCAGCGAGATGAATTTGTCAGGGCGAATTTTATAATAGAGGTAGCAAAAGTTAGTGAAAACAGAAAAGACTAGGTAGCGAAGATATGGTTACAGAAAATATAAATTAGTAAGCTACAAAGATTGAAGAATTCAGAATCGCAGGATACATGACTCAAAATCGTTTGCAATGGCTCATGTGCATTTACTCTGTGTTCTATGAAATTTTAATTTTCTGAATCCCTCATCACCTCTCAATCAATCATACGTACGTATGTACGTACATCAGTTCAAGTTGCCATACCACAATAGCACAGAGATGTAATTGCAATTCAAATCCCATAGTAGTAGAAGTAGTACAGGTATTAACAGTAATTGGAGAGATTAGGGTTCGATGATATTATTGAAGAAGTAGAATCTAGTGGAATAAACTTAAAAAGAAAAAGATAAAGCCTCATCATCCGTATCATTCTCTTTCTAAAGTTGTCTCACTGAATTATATATTTCGAACAATATCTTCGAACCCTAATCTCCGTTAACGCTAATATTTCTACTACTTTTACCACTATAGGATTTAAACTAAAAACTGAGCCTCAGTGCTAATGTGGTATGGCAACACGAACTTATGTACGTACTCACGAAGTTTTTTGTTGTAAGTGACTGACTGCTAAACCTCTGAGGTGGTGTGGCGTGGAAGATTTGTTACAAAGACTTTAACCACGAGTAAATCAGTATTACTTCAATGTGATATAAGACACAGGTCATTCAAACAACTTTCGTTTTCGACCACCATTATCTTTGAAAGATTTTTTAGATATAAGGGCAGTTCCAGCGCTAACGCAATGTATAATCTTAGCCTAACAAAATCTAGCCCTGTCGGTTTATGGATGGATTATATGACTGTTAATATTTCTACCTCTAGAGTACAAATCTGCTTGTATGATGAATCTACGATCGTGTTGTATCAAAAGGTTCTACTATATATGAAATCAAAGGTCACGAACCCAATCCAATACGGAGCCCAGTTTGTGGTGGTGAGGATTCCCAAACTAAGATAAAACAGTTTAGAGATATTTTAAGCAGTTCATTAAATATCAGCTAACGATTAAATTATTTTCAAGTTGTAAAACTTTTAGTCATTTCATTATCAAATATTGCAAAACATTTGAGCAACATACAATGATAGACCACTTGCCTTAGCTCCTTTTTGGTCGCCTTCTGTACGAACACCCAACAGGCGCCGAAGAAGAAAGAATGATATTTCTAATTCCACATATATGTCAGGTAAAGTACCAACCTCTCCTAAAACGTGACCGACCAAACGATCAGCGCGACACAACTGTGGATCGATTTTTGTTCCAACTCCAATTAAACCTCCTGGAACAGCGTAAGCAAGATCATTCTGCTCTGCGAAAAGTGACACGATACACGAAATAATGGGTCTACATGTAACACCTCCAGTCTCAGAATCTTTGGAGACGAGACCTGGTCTGATTTCTATTTTCTGCCCAACCTGTTGATAATTAAAATTAATGAACAGAAATTAGGAACTATACAGAGGTACTAAAATTGGTGGAATAGATCTGGCGAATCAGAGAGCCAGAATAAGAAATAATTGATTAGGATAAAAAAACATATCATAATAAACTACCTTAAGAACACCTCGCAAAATGCTCCCTCCGGCTACTCCACCCTGTAAATCATCCACTTCACAACCAGGTTTGTTTACATCGAATGATCGGATTACTGCAAGTAAAGAAATCAGAAATCATATAGTCGATTATAACTATTGATTCAATGTGTACTTAAACTTGTTTGTTATGCACAAAACAGACAACTCACCAATCAAACGAGGTGCTGATGTGAAATCCCGTACTGGAACCGGAATGTGATTCACAATGTAATCACAAACAACATCAATATTATACTTCAATTGTGCTGAGATGGGTACAACTGGAGCTCCTTGAGCAACAGTACCCTGGATAAAACGTAAAATCTAAAAAAGAATATAAATGTGATCATTACACAGGTACATCTTTTCAGTTGAGTTAACCAGTACGGCTTGGACCATAAACACCGTCTAGTAAGAATCCACGACTACGACTTTAAAAGTCTTTCATTTGAGGACTTTTTAGTTATTAACAGTAATTTGTCTGTTTTACTCAGAACTTGTAGTTGGCTGAAAAGTACTCCATGGGAAATACATCACGTTTTAGAACTCATTATAATCCAAAAGTGTACCGTAAGTAGTGAAACGCAAACCATTATCAACTTCAATGATACGAATGAACCAGCATTTATTGGGGTGCTGTTTCCAACAATCAGGTTATGTGAACATTATTCAATTATCCAACTTCTGAGATCAAAATGTTGACATATGTTGCAATTTACAAGCTAATTTACAGAATAAAAATCCTATGACATACAGAAGTTATTGCGAAAATTATAGTTCTAGATAATACAAAATGATGGATTATTACCTGATTTGTCAAGACTTACCTGAGAATATTGTTCACGAGCTTGACTTTCCTTGATTAAGTCAATCTTATTTTGAAGAATAATTATGTATTTTAACTGCATGATCTCTACAGCAGCGAGGTGCTCACTTGTTTGGGGCTGTGGGCATGTCTCATTGCTGGCTATTAACAATAATGCTGCATCCATAACAGCAGCACCGTTTAACATAGTTGCCATTAAAATATCATGACCTGGACAATCCACAAACGAAACATGCCTAGTTAAAAAAACATTGAAGTTATAAAATATAAAACCTCATACACTCTTGTTATCGAGGTTTTCGCGATTTCATTTTCGACTTTTAAAATCAATGAACAAAACGTTAATCGATAGATGAACGCACCGATATAACGTAGCCAAATGATGGCTACTTACAAGACCGTATTATTGACTTGGGCTCCTGAAGGATTAGAAATCAAAGACGAGACCCCTAGTTAGATGAGTGGCTTCTCATGTAATAAAATGATATGCTCATGTACATAATATGAATACAAAACAGATATTATATAAGATACATTCCCATATGCGAAAGGAATTTGACTAGTAGGCTAAACATTTCCCAATCAGTTGAAATCAGATTATTAGGCCTAATTTTTGCGCATCGTACCAACAGTGTCCACGCGAAAATGAAGACGGTGATCAGATTGTTTGTCCAATAAGTCAACCTTTAGTGCGCACTGAGACCATCTAAATGAGACTGAAACTCCAATACAGGAAATTTTGAATCATGGGATTTAGGACAAATTGTCTGCACAATATGACGAGACTTAATATATCAGTAAACTTGTTTTAGAAGCAACACATCCACTCAACAATATTTTCGTTCGTTTGCTTAATAACAGAAAGATCGACTTCCGTAAAGTTGAAGCTGTGCTGATTCCGATGTGGTAGGTCCAACTTTTGTGAAAGAAACTCCTACTTAGTCCGAGAAGAACTCTCCAAATTTGGTTACAGAAATTTTTTGAATCGAGAATAAACCAGTAATTTGAAACCGTCTTATGCTCAAACCAAATTAGCTTACGGCCTAGTTGGAATTCGATGAGATGACACTAGGTAGTGACCTCTAAGTCAGCAGAAAATGAAACCAACGAAGATAAATGGGGAGCAAGAATATAAAGTAATTATTAAGATCATCATAATGATAAAGACTATTTACACTAAACTGTTTATAATGCCTTTAAAATCTTTAGACAGTGAATAAGTAGCATAACCGAGTACTGAGCAATTCAAAAAAGGCTTTACAGCTGTCACTAACAAACGAAGATGCTCACCTTTGTGATATTATTGCAGAATGAAAATTAAAAAATATAGATGTAGATGTGCATATAACCGATAAAGGCTACTCAATTTAAGACTATGATTCAAGCAGTTGACAGTCGTAATATGTCCCCTTCTTACACCGGGCATAAATATCAGGTAAAATCTTGGTTTGTTTACAGGTAAGACAGCTCTAGTTCTCGAGTAATCAAAGCATCATTAATTAAAAATGGGAATCTAAGTGATTGAAAGGTATTTCGGAGTAAGACAGGTGATAGAAGCTGGAACAATGGTATAACACAAGTCAATGCAGAATGAAAAGGAGGCTAAAAAAGCATTTAGTGGATCGTTTATCACCCAAATGTTATACTGAGGGAACCTTAAGAACAAGTAACACCCAAAAACTAACGTATTGATTGACACCCAAATGACCAATATATTTCGCTTATATAGGGACAAAATCAGTGTTAATCTCTGAAAAGGATGTAGTCATTGTTAGACAACGTCACCAGTTCCTGCAACAGGCAAATGAATATTCAAATTACCTTAGTAGTGTTAGTGTTCCATCGCAACCAGGTCTAGGACAGGGAAGAGAATCATCTGTTGCACTTCCGAATGAACGGTAACAAGCAGGGCGTATGCATGCTTCACTGTTGCACTTGTATATTTTAGCATTAGCATATCCAAGCTTTATTGTGATGTTTCTAATCAATTCGTTTTTATGCCTAATGGTATGCACTGTGGAAATGGCACGCACAACTGTTGTTTTCCCGTGGGCGACATGGCCTATAGTACCAATGTTAATGGTTGCTTGGCGACTGATGACCTCCGGTGATAAAGCTGTTAATTTAGATACATCCTAGAACAAGTTCCCGTCAGGTACAGTAACGTCAATCTTACCAGTTCTTCTACATTTTGTACGGACAAACCACGCTTGTCTGGCATTACGACTAGCCGCCTTGAATCCAAACCTCCTATTGAAAAAGAAGAACAAATTTACCGGATTTGTTGGTTGGAATAATTCAGAGGTTCAATACTCTTGATTTTTCGGGACACCAAGCTGATGAACGAAGTATCAAACCGTTGCACGAAAAAGTTGATGATACTGACGTCAAACAAAAGCCAAATATTCTTAGAAAGTATAATAATTTCTGTGTATGTGCAACTATTGTGAACAATCCTGCCGAAACGTGCTGAAGTTTTGCAGCCCCTAACATAGGTGTCAGGTAGACACGGAAATGTACTCAGCGCCGGTGCCGGAAAGTTTAATGACCTAAAGTCAGTGCATTCGGTAAATCTTCATTTCCCGGCAGACTTTTTCAACGCATGCGCGTAGATATGCTTGGTCTCTTTGACCATGCAACTCCTCATTACAAATCTTTACCGCTTTTGGCAGATTTAAGAGATGGGCTATTAAAAGCCTCATAAAAGATACATTTGCGGAGTCCATCATCTCCGTTTTATTCGACTATCGGATACCAAACTGTAGTGTACTATTACTTAACAAGGTAAACCGTGGTTCTTGATTTCATACAGTTTTATATCATGAATTTATCAGGCTGTCAGTAGTTAATCCTATAAAACCATTAGTCTACAACCAAGCAGAAAGTGTTTTGGCAATAAGTTCCCATCGCCACTTAGAAAGTTCGCTGTCTCAAGATGACATGACAATGGGAAAATCCGTTTCACGCCTCATGTTCCTCGGGATCCGCTCAACTATAATAGAAAACATAGGATGCACATAAGCTAAACGGTTCTGCGAAGCAACACTGGTTTCACCTGGAAAACTGTTAAAACGTGACGGTAAAACAGGTTGAACCAACACGTTTTGCAAGTTGTTCTCTATGAACTATGCAGCACAAACCAATATACTACATAAACATACACGATACACATTTTTATAAATATTTAGAAAGGATGAGTAGACACATCATTTTTGACGAGACTGTTAAGAAAGAGGCTATTTAGAAGGATGAAGTAAAATATAACATGTTGGAAGACCGGCAGAAACAATTTGATCGTTTATAATGTCATAATTGGGGATATATCTTTGGATCTGTTTGATAGTTTTTTACGATGGATTGTCCGATACATATGTACCTGATTGAGAAAGCTAGAATTACCGAATGACATCGACAGATGCTCGTCTATACATTTATTCCACCTCCTTACAACAGAAAGCACTTCTGGA